TAAATTGCGGTTGCGGTCGCGGTTGCGGTTGCGGTTGCAGTCGCGGTTGCAGTTACTGCGGTTGCAGGTATTGCGAGTATTGCGATGCGGATTGCGGCTGTTGCGGTGTGAAATTATTAATTATTTGCACTAAATATAAAAAAATTGTAATTATTGATATATGTTTTATTTTTAAAAATTTATACATTTTTATTCCTTTTTTAAAATATTCTATTATTTTAATGAATAATTTAATTTATTTTAAAAATTAATTTAAAAGTAAGAGAAACACAATAGTGGTTAGGAGAAAAACATTCATCACTCCTCCTTACCATTTCCATCAGAATCTCTCTTGGAACCAGACAAGTGACACAAGGAACAATATTATTATTGACGGCAACCTTTGCTGTGATAGAAACAAACCGTGAGTGAAGATCCTGGTTAAAAGCCCAAGAATAATAGTTGTTGTCACGTGGGAAAGCCAAAATAAAAATAGTGAAAAATGGGTTGAGTTATTACTCAGTTTATTTATTTTTAATTTCATATAACTTTCTCTATAATTTCTTTTAGAAGAGAAATAAAAAAATTGAAATAATTTTTTCATATAATAAAAATAACTTATATATAAATTAAAAATAACATTTTAAAAAAATTGATAGAATTTCTTAAAATAACTTATACACAAGTTAATTTTAACTTATATAAAAAAAATTGTTATCGTTTTTCTTATTTTACTCTCCTAAAAATATTTTTAAAAAATTAATTTACTCAACTATACCCTTAATACATGCTAAAGCTAGCCTAGAAAAAGAAAGGAAACTTAACAATCATATGTATACACACATTCATGTGGACTGAAATCTACAGAGAAAATAAGCCAAAAAAAAAAATTAAATAAATTCAAAAATTGAAATGGATATTAAATAACCAAAACCGAAGCCATGTACCCTAATCTGTTAGTGGTTCTGATCACTTCACACAGTCACTCACCAAATTAAGAAAATAAAAGAACATGGGCTAAAAATAATGAACAACTCCTTGTTCTTTACTTGTCTAATATCTACCATGATCCACCACCTAGCATGCCATTCCAATACCCAGTTGAATCCCCTTGGCTTCTATTTGGCTCAAACTCAGCATTCTTTGTGATCTGCTGTGACTTCAAATCCTCTACAGGAAACAAGATCCTTGCCCCTTCACCCTCTTGAATCCCTTGGAGATCACCACCATAGCCATTTTCAAACCCCTCTAAACTGAAGCTAAGGCCAGGCTTAAAGTCTTGGAAAGGAAACCCAGTTGAGTTATACATTGTGCTGGAATCTGAAACCGGCATGGCCATGAAAGAGTTCAAGCCCCTTGATGAAGTGATCCCAGAAAAGTGAGAGGAAGAGGGAGTGAGATTTTGAAAAGCCCCTTGATGATGGGTTTCAGTTTCAGCCTTGTTGTTGTCTTCAGTGTTGTTGTAAGGAACCTCAATGAATTTAGATATGGTGCTGTAGTCCTCAACCGGTGGATATGCTAGGTTAAGATCTTGGCCTTGGTGGATCTTTGGGGTTTGAGAAGAATTCTGAGGGAAATTTTGTGGGGTTGCCAGATCAGGAAACTTCTTAGTTGATGATGGAGTTGATGGTGATGATGATGAGGATGCAGGTGTTGGTCTTTTGTTCTTTCTTGAGCCTCCACCCACTGGAACATTTCTCAAAGAGCCTCCCTCTGTCCAATACCTTCTACAAGTCTTGCAAAAGTACCTTGGTTGGGAGAGGCTATAGTTATTGTAGTAGCAGAATTTGGTGTTTGTTGAATTGCACCTTGGGCAGTTTAAAGCTTGATCCTTCTGTGGCCTTGCCCTTTTCTCCATAATTGGAGGCTTTGAATTACCTTCCATAGGGTTAACAACTCCAATACCCTGAAATTAATTTATCCAAAATTGGAAATAATAAAAACAAAAAGAGAGGAAAAGAACATAATTAATTGAACTCAAAAACTCAAGGGGAAGAGAAAGCAACATGAGGAGGAGTAAGGAAAACAAACAAGACAAGGAAACATAGATTGGTAATACAAACAAATATATGTTAACTTTTGTTTAAGTCTTTACTCCTTTAGCAGCAGATGGTGGAAAGGGGAAAAAGGAAGAGAAAAAGAAAGGTGCAGTACTTTCAATAGCAGTATTCAAAAAAAAAATAATAATAATTGAAAGATCTTTATAAGACAACAACAAAAATTGAATTTTTGTGGGGGTGCTGAACTGAAAATCATCTCTTGGAAGCTGAAAAGTTAAGGAAAAAAGTAAAATTTCACTAAGAATAGTTTACAATAAACAAGATAATTTACGAAATCGGAGACATAATATTGCAAATTGTGTCTGAAAATCACAACCCCAGAAGAAGTTTCATGATTATATGGAAAGAAAACAAAGAAAGGTTTGTGCTACCTGTGCCCACTGAGTTGTGTCCATGGAATAAGGGGAAGGAAAAAGAAAAAGGCAACAAGTCTTGAAAACACGAAAAACACCAACTTTAGAGGATGGTCATAAAAGCAAGCGTGGAAAGCTTTGAGAATTGGATAATAGTGGTGGTACCATGTGTTTGCCAACTAGCTAGCTATATTGCATATACGGGGGTAGCACAGTCTTTTGGTGGCTCCCAATCTATATGATCACGAATTGGGAAAATGGTGTACATGCATGTAACATACTAATATAATAAATTAAAGTATTTTACGGAAGTCAACAAATGTTCTTCATCAGTGTCTTGGTGTACAATAACAGTGGAAAGTCGGTTGATTCTTTTATGACCAGATGTTGTGAACCCATTCATTCTATATATCTTCGTTTATTTTCAATCAGATTTAGACATTGATGGACAGTGATGTCATAAATTAGTTTATATAATTTTTTGGTGACTATTAATTGTTATTTGATTTATTATACTATTTTTATTATGTTGTTATTAGATCTTTTACAAATATTTAGTTTTACAAATTTCACAATGTCAATCTTTGGCATAAGAGAGCATATGTTGAAAATCTAAGACCAAATTAGTATAGATAAATGTTGAATAAGCCTCATTTTGTGAGGTGAAGTTTATAACACACTTTTTTTATTATTGTTCTTTCCTTATAGTTTATATATGTATACATAGAATTAAAGATGTTTGATACACATAATATTTTTTTCTTTTTCAAGAGTTTGAATTTGAGAATTTTAATTTGTCATGTTTAGTTTATCAAAAAAAATATATTTGAATAAACATGACTTTTTGGGAATGTTTTTATATATGTTTTTCACCAAATTTGGGAATCTAACATTTCTAAATTTAAAATAATAATTTACTATGCTAAAAATATTAAGTTGCATTAGTTTGTCTAGCTAATCCAATAAAGTTTTTTAATTCCCAACTCTAATTTATAAAATATTTCTAAAAATATTTATACCAACCAAATAGATTTAATCATTCATGAGAATCATAATTCTCAAGACTTTTGATTTTGAGGATCTACAAATTTCAAACTGGAAAAAACTTTCCTTCTATCAAATGTCCATAAGAGAAATTAATGCTAGTGTATCATAGTATATAAATAGTTAAATTATTTTATCAATATAAGATAATGATAATAATTTTCAATCTAAAAGTATGGGAACAAAAAATTTGGATTACGTAACTACATAGATAATCAAAACTAAAAGTTAATAAGAAAATATAATCAAAATATCATTTTTTTTAATTATTAACTTTGAGACATTATATGAGTTATGTCTATTAACTAAAAAATATAGATAATCAAAATTAAAAGTTAAATAGTTGTTTTATCCTTGCAAATTTAAATGAAGAAAAAAGTATCCTCCCCTCACCAACTTAGATGAGAAATTAAGTTGGATATTTTAGAAAAGAAAGTTAAATAGTGAAATCAAAATAATACCAACTTAAATAATAATTTTTAATATTTTCAAAATATTTCATATTAAACAATAGAAGAGATCATATGGACAAATAAGATAGTAAATAGTGTAATCAAAGTGCTCATACACTACAAAAAAATTGCATTTAGCGACCACCAAAATCGGTTGTTAAATTGTTAAAATCGGTCGCTATTTTCCTTAGCGACCAAATTTAAGTAGTCGCAAAGCTATATAGCGACCAAAAAATTTTCGGTCTTTCGGTCGCTAAATGGTTGCAATGATTTTGGTCGTTGATGTGTATCTGTAAGCTAGGTTTTGAAAAAAATGGATTATTTCTGTTTGAGGAATTGATGATCCCGTTATATTTTGTATGTGTTGAGGATTAGAAATATATATTTAATTTGTAAGAATGATGATCTAGGAGAGAGGATGAAATTGTAGAAAAGTGTCTGTGAATTAGGTTTTGGAATAATTAGGGGTTTTACCATTTATGTTAAGATTATATTAAATTGGTAATTCCATTGATTATTATATTAATTTATGAATGTTATTGTTATATTACTTGATAAGAATTGATGATCTAGATGTGAATTGCTTGAAGGGTGTGTAAACCTTTATTTTGTTGGACTTATCAGTTGTGTATGTGATATGGAATTGTGTATGTGGTATGAAATTGAGCTATGAGATGAGATGTTGTGATGGAGGACCATCCTTGGTACTTCATGTGAAACCCATCACATGGTTCATGACTATGACTAATTTGAGTAGTATAGAATTTTATTGCTTTATTCCAAATTTACCCTTGTATTTTGGGATGTTTAGGACTTAGAATTTATTTTCCCTTGTATTCCCCATTTTACCCTTGTATTATGGGGTGCTCTAGATAATTAGGTTTTTAATTTGGGCTAGGGTGTTACATTAGAAGGGTGACGCATTTTTGGTGTTCATTGGATCTATTTTTGGTGTTAGAAAGGCTTAGGCCCAAGTGGAGGGCAAAGGTTGCATGGTCTTATCATGCACCTAGATATAGCCAATCTAAACCCAAAGATTTCATCCTTAGCCACCAAGTTGCATCTAGAGTTCATTTGATACTTTTATTTTTTTTAGCAACCGATTTTAATTTGGTCGCTAAAATTATTATAAATAATAATTTTTTTAGCGACCGATTTTAATTTAGCCGCTAAAATTATTATAAATAATGATATTTTTTTTATTTTTTTAGCGATCGATTTTAATTTGGTCGCTAAAATTATTATAAATAATAATTTTTTTAGCGACCGATTTTAATTTAGCCGCTAAAATTATTATAAATAATGATATTTTTTTTATTTTTTTAGCGATCGATTTTAATTTGGTCGCTAAAATTATTATAAATAATAATATTTTTATTTTTTTAGCGACTGATTTTAATTTGGTCGCTAAAATTATTATAAATAATAATATTTTTTTATTTTTTTAGCGACCAAAACCGTTCCGTCGCTATTTTAATCAACAATTATTATTTTAGCGATCGATTTAGCGACCGATTATTTGCCACTAAAAAATTCGGTTGCTAATTTGGTCGCTAAATATAATTTGCAACCAAATCAGATTCGGTCGCTAATTATGTTTCTATTAGCGACGAAAAAATCGGTTGCTAATTTCAGTGGCTAAATTGACTTTTCTTTTAGTGAAAGTTCAAAAGCTGAATAGGAAAATGAATTAGGAGAAGGAATAACAATTGTTTGCAAAATTTATTAGGAAAAAATATTGAACATTCATTTTATAATGTTCACAACTAAATTGTTTGAATTTATCATTGGATGTGATTATATGTTAATTATTCAAGAATGGTGAATTTATAATGTTTATAGCTAAATTATTCCTAATAAATAATTTCCATCATGAATATATATTGAGTAAAGTTAAATGATTTGATTTATAATTGATTATAATTGCTTATTGTAACAACCCGATTTTCACATATTATTTGAGGCCCTGAAAGCCCAATAGGGATAATTTAGTAGCCTAGAATGAGTCATTCCCAAATTGAAACGGACCGTTCCCAAAGTGGAACGGGCCGTTCCACAATACAAAAATTGTCTACAAATTTTAGATGATAGGGCATTCCCAAATTGGAATGGGGCGTTCCCAAATTGGAATGGGGCGCTCCAAATCACCAAAGTGTCTGTAACCCTAGTTGGGAACGGGCCGTTCCAAATATGGACGTTGTGGGTTAAATACAACCCTAGAACGGGCCGTTCTGGTTTGAGAACAGGCCGTTCTAGATGTGAATTTTACACATGCTGTTAGAGTCTAGCACGGGTCGTTCCGGCGACGCTTGATGCCTATAAATAGAGAGTTGTGGCACTCCTAAAAAGCACACCTTTCAGTTCTAACTTCTTTCAGTTCTAACTTCTTTCAGTTCTGACTCCTTTATTCTACATTTCTTTTCCTTCTACACTCTCTAAAGACCGAGAGGCACTCAGAGGAGGAGACCAAGGAGATCTCTGTTTTAGTTTTAGCTACTGTTTATCCAGGTACGGGGGAAAAGGGGATTATTTGTATGTAGAGTTACATGAGAAAATTGGGTAGAGAAAAAGTCCCTTAAGATTATGAGTAATTTTATAATTATTTCTGTTTGAAAAATTGTTGATCCCATTAGATTTTACATGTATTGAGGATTAGAAATCTATATTTAATTTGTAAGAATGATGATTTGGGAGAAATAACTAAATTATAGAAAAGTGTCTGTAAGCTAGGTTTTGAAAAAAATGGATTATTTCTGTTTGAGGAATTGATGATCCCGTTATATTTTGTATGTGTTGAGGATTAGAAATATATATTTAATTTGTAAGAATGATGATCTAGGAGAGAGGATGAAATTGTAGAAAAGTGTCTGTGAATTAGGTTTTGGAATAATTAGGGGTTTTATGATTTTAATTTGGTCGCTAAAATTATTATAAATAACAATACTTTTATTTTTTTTAGCAACCGATTTTAATTTGGTCGCTAAAATTATTATAAATAATAATTTTTTTAGCGACCGATTTTAATTTAGCCGCTAAAATTATTATAAATAATGATATTTTTTTTATTTTTTTAGCGATCGATTTTAATTTGGTCGCTAAAATTATTATAAATAATAATATTTTTATTTTTTTAGCGACTGATTTTAATTTGGTCGCTAAAATTATTATAAATAATAATATTTTTTTATTTTTTTAGCGACCAAAACCGTTCCGTCGCTATTTTAATCAACAATTATTATTTTAGCGATCGATTTAGCGACCGATTATTTGCCACTAAAAAATTCGGTTGCTAATTTGGTCGCTAAATATAATTTGCAACCAAATCAGATTCGGTCGCTAATTATGTTTCTATTAGCGACGAAAAAATCGGTTGCTAATTTCAGTGGCTAAATTGACTTTTCTTTTAGTGAAAGTTCAAAAGCTGAATAGGAAAATGAATTAGGAGAAGGAATAACAATTGTTTGCAAAATTTATTAGGAAAAAATATTGAACATTCATTTTATAATGTTCACAACTAAATTGTTTGAATTTATCATTGGATGTGATTATATGTTAATTATTCAAGAATGGTGAATTTATAATGTTTATAGCTAAATTATTCCTAATAAATAATTTCCATCATGAATATATATTGAGTAAAGTTAAATGATTTGATTTATAATTGATTATAATTGCTTATTGTAACAACCCGATTTTCACATATTATTTGAGGCCCTGAAAGCCCA